GAGGCTTCTGGCCAAAATAAAACCAAATCTTTCAAGGCAACAGTTTGAAATGGTTATTACTGAGATAACGGATTAATCCAGGTGTGTCTGGCCATGGTTACTGAGGTCAGACACACCTGGATTAATCAGTTCACCCAGAAGAAAAAGAGAAGAAACAAAAGAGCTGCTTGAAGTTCAGGAAGTAGTGGAGTTGTGCATAGAGCCCATTAATTTCATTTTGGATATAGAAAGTGATTTTTCAATGCTTTTTCAGGTCAATATTCAGGAATTTGGGCGTACTGATGCTCAGTGTGAAAACTCCCCTATGTAACATGAGAGGGTTGGATCCATCACTGTATGAGTCATGTGATGCAAAAAAAGGTTTTACAGCAGTCTGAGCTCCCCTTAAACACCAGAGCTAACTAAGATAATCCCAATCTGTTGGTCCAAAGTGGTCTGCTATCAGATTCCAAAACACAGAGACCGTTTCTCAATTCACTAGAACACGTAAGGACTTGTGTCCTCGCCATGTACGTTCTTGACAAGAACACAGTAAAGTCTGGACTTGGGGAGAACGGGAGCACGTAGTATAAATATGGGTCAGTTGCAACAGAGACGTAGTTGCAGCTTAATTTCACCTCCTGTTATTAAAGGGGAACACCGTTTTTTTACATTGGGCCCTTGATTTTACGTTATTACATCATGTTCTACTCACCAATATTAATTTTGTGTCATTTGGAGCCGTTCTGAAGTAACGTCTTCCTATTGGCAACAGTTGAAGGCACAAACTAAACTGTTCATAATTTATTCTTTATGGTACGCCAGCATTCATAACATTTATGCGAATCACTGTCCCCCAGACATCCGCGGTTATATTTTTTAGATTTTTATTTTTTAAAACAAAGTGGAGTGTGTATGACGTCATCCGCGTGCCGGACTGGAGTTTTGACAGGCAGCCCGGGCCACAGGCAGCTACGCCCTACTCCTTATATTCATTCGGCTAGCTAATCTGAATCGTTCAATTCCATTTAGAGAGATAGATCATCTGTGGTAGCAGCACTAGACATCTTCCAGGCATGTAAGTTAAACTAGCGGCAGTTCAGCGAACAGGATGAATGAACGGTAGCCAGCGCGTGTGTCAGGTTGGGTGGAGATTTTTTGAGGATGAAAATGCAGAGATAAGGAGGCAGAGATGAGTTTGTAGATTTAATGAGGAAAAACTGAGATAAACATCTAAAAATACTTAGAACCAAAAACTAGCAGACATCAGTGAAAAACTCTTGTGGGGAGTCGGGAATGAAGGAGCAACAAGACAACAACAAGGAACGAGCAAACAGTGACTCAACACGAGGTGTATAAATGGGAGACTGAACAAAGACCAGACTAATCAGCAGATTGGGAGCAGGTGCAGACAGAGGAGACTAGAAGGGAGCTAGGGAAGAAGAGACTGACACAAGAGGGCAGCAGAGGGCAAACAAGAACTCAAATACAATAAAAAATAACTAGAAAAACACAAAAAGCTTAAATGAAACCAATAAACTTGAAAACACAGAAAGACATGAAATAAAGTATAACTGAAAACTCAAAAAAGAAAACTTAAACGGAACCAGAAAGTGCGGAGTCATGACAATGAGGCTTAGACCAGAGAAAAAGGCTAGAATCCACCATCCCTGCATTCTGGATTTATTTCCAAATAGGAATTTAAATAAACTACATTCATAGAGAAATACCAATTGATCACAATCACATTTAACGCCGCCACCTTCAAATGTTACCTTACTAAAAAGTGTGCACATCAAGTATGCCAACTTTAAATACTGGTACATACAGTAGTACAGAAGTGTGTAAAGCTTCATGATGCAAGAAGAAGAAAAAATAGGCAAAAAAATTTAACTATTTTAGAACTAGTCTGAAATGCAAAAAAAAGTTAGCCACAAAATTAGCCACAAAAAGTTAAATTCCACATATGGCCTTTGTGTAGTTTTCTGTCGGGTATTTGCCATTTTCTGACTCTCTGACTGCATAAACAAACACTATGTCTTTCTGACCAATGAGATGCCATAGAAAGGCCTTTTACAACATGCCATTGCTGCAGAGGTTAGAGCAGCAAAACAGTCACTCCAGCTGTTCTCAAAGTCTTTGGTTGAGAAGTCCAACAGGTTGCTAATGACTCCTGAGGAAGTTTGTTAAACCCAAATTAAGGCATGCATTGATGCCAGCTGAAGCTATAGTTATACTGTTGGACAGCATCTGTTAGGAAAGGTCATAAAGTATATCAGAATACGTTTATGAGCCAGAGCTCTTTCCTCTCCAGCAATCACCCTTATGCAAGGTTAGAGCAAAGGTGGGAAACAGAAAGGTGGAAGGTTTTTTTTCCCCCCCTTTCTCGTTTGAGAAAGGCTTTCATTTATACCATCTACCGTAAATCCTCTAATATAGGCCGGGGCTTTTATTTCACTCAGGTACATCTTGGTCCAGGCCATTATTGGAAGGAGGCCAGGCCTCTATTTCTATTTGATCAGAACTGACTACCAGTGGAATTAATAAAAAAAAAAGATTTTGTGTCTCTTTGAACCTATAAAATACTAGGTTCATTTATTGAAAAAGTACAGTTACCATAACGGTATACAGAACATTATTCAGACATCTTCCAGCAGCTGCAATTTTTCTGAACGGCAATACAAAAAAAAGGGACAGAATGGAACCTTGGCCAAACTGACTTGCGAAACAAAGTTTTAAAAAAGATGAATGGAAACTGTTCTGCCATCACAGCGAAATTTTATTTGAGGCAGGCTAAGTGGAAGTAGGCTACCAGTATTTTAACGCTGCCTGGTTACCAGACCTACCGTTAGCAAACATTGCCCCCCTGTGGTACTTGTATGTTACTATCACAAGTTGTTGAGGACTGCCCAGGAACATCGTTGGTTTTAATTATAGCCCCGGCCTGTATAAGAGTCCGGCCATTATTTACTTCCGCCAACATCCAGACAGGCCATTATTAGAGACCAGGCCGCTTATGGAATACAGGCCAATATTAGAGAATTTACGGTAGATTACTTTAATATTACTGTAAAGAAAAGGAGCAAAGCTAGAGGAAAACTAGAGGATGCACTGCATCTTTTGGATCCTATTCATGAATCAATCAACAGGATATGGAGCAGCATTTTTACCAGATGAATGAAAACTAACACATCAAGTGGTCAACAAAACCAGCGGGGCAATTGACCAATCGGCTGATTTTTAGACACAGTTTATTATTAAGGCTTAGCTTTAAAACTTTAATCATGACTGGTGTGTTTTAACGTGTTGCAGTTATAGTGATGCAATAGAGGACTGTGCAGCATTTAAATGAGCCATGTCAACGGTGTGGGGGTAGCCCCTAGGTGTTAAAAGGTTAAGGAAATTTAATACAGGCAAAATATCGGTTATAAGCGATTACAGACATACTGATGTAGTTACTAATATGAGGCTAGAGCCTTATTAAACATAACATGATGCTTTTTCGCTCTGGTTCATAGACACTAATTTGTAAAAATATCTATGTCTTGGCTCCAAATAAATTAGTCATTGTCTCCCCCTAGTGGTCTGGAGCTTTTTCATTACATCAAGCCAGTTTGCAGTGGAATATTTTTTTGCTTGCAGTTATTTTTGCTACTCGAAGGATTTTCCCTTTGCGTGTGTGTTGTTTGGTAGCATTATTTATGTACAGTATTTGCAGCAAGTTAAAATGAAAGGATTTACTCAAAAACATCCTTTTTTTAATTAAAGGTTTGTTTTTTTTTTACTGACAAATATAGGATATTTTCTTATACATATTTCTGACTTTACAGTGTCATTAATAGGCTTAGTTTAAAGGTTGAAAAAACTTGGTCTGGTTTTTTGACAGGAAATAAAGACTTTAGAGCTTCAAAAAAGTAAGGTGTTCTTTGACAGATTTGGATGACTTTTTAACATTAAATTTTTATTTTTTATTATTATTATTATTATTTATTTTTATTTTTTTTGGGGAAATGTGTAAATTAATCCAAAAAACTAAGATTCCTTCCAGCAGAAATTAGAACTTTTCATTTTCAAAAAGTTGGTTTGTTTTTTCTGGAAAATATGTCAAAATAATTAAGAATTTTAATTTTTTTAATTTTGTTTTATTATTTTGCAGAATTTTCTAATTTTTTTTAACAGGAGAAAGCTTTGTTTTTTATGGAAAATATCTTGAAATCATAAAAAAAAAAAATCTTTTTTTTTTGGTGAAATGTATGACTTTTGAACATCAAGAAGTGCCGAGTACTTTTCTGGACTAACAGTATTTGGTAAAATTGATCACTTTTCAAGTTCCATATATTTGAAATTATTCTAAAAACCTTTTAGAAACCTTTTAAAAAACAATTTTTTGGCAGAAATGTACTCCTTTTTTTCCCTCTCATCCACAATGGCCCTAATACTGTGCTGTACTTTAGCTACTGTAAGAACTCATGCATGAAAAACTTCTGTTTGGAAATGTTTATGACCCTTGCAATTCAACCAGACACTGTGATGAAGGAGGTACCTGGTACTTTGGCTCTTTACCAAATTGAGTCAAAATACATTAAAGTAATTCCTGCCATACTTGATTTACATATTAGTTCTACTCCAAGCACCCCAGCAATTTTCTGATTCCATCGCCACCTACTGGTTCTTTTTGGAAAAAAAAAAAGGTGATTGATTTAATTTAGAGGGAAAGAAGAGAACCCAAAGACACTCTGGATCTCATTGTGACCTGACGATGAAGCAATTAAGTTGACGTGTTTTCCAAAGTTTAAATGTAAGGTTATCTATCAAATGTGATGACTTTTTCTGTCTCCTTTACACCTTTAGATCTAATAAGTGAGAGACCTCTCTTCGGCTGTCAAGATGCCAGAGCTGAACTGCTCTCTCGCTGCTCTCGTCATGACCGCTAACACAGTCTTCAGTGACAGGCGCTGCCCGGAGATTGCTATGATGTGTGGGATGAATATCTCCTGGCTTTTAGCCAATGCTACAGAGAGGGATGTGAGGGAAATGTGCTTGAGCGAGGAACAGTACCTTACCCTGCAATTAGGGCCAGTAAAGTCCCCCTGCTTTCTCCCTGTGTGTATCACCTACCTCCTCATTTTCATGGTAGGCGTCCTGGGAAATTCCCTGACCTGTGCTGTGATTTTGCGCTACAAAGTGATGCAGACGCCCACCAACTACTACCTGCTCAGTCTGGCCATCTCTGACCTGCTGGTGCTGCTGCTGGGCATGCCGCTAGAGCTCTACGAGATGCAACAGAACTACCCATTTCTGCTCGGGACGGGGGGCTGCTACTTCAAGATCTTTTTGTTTGAGACCGTCTGCTTTGCCTCCATCCTGAATGTAACGGCCCTCAGCGTGGAACGTTACATCGCAGTGGTGCACCCCCTTAAGGTCAAGTACCTGGCAACTCGCGCTCACGTCAAGAGGGTCATCTTAGTCCTGTGGGGGCTTTCCATGCTGTGTGCGGTGCCAAACGCCAGTCTGCATGGGATTGTGGTCGTTCCTCCACGGTTTGGACGAGAGTTTCCACAATCTGCTACCTGTAGTACGTCAAGAACTTCGGATGTATATAGTCAATATTTACAGTCTTCTGGACTTGATACCTCACTGGATGGGATTGTTTAACCTCTTATCTCTGTCCTCAGGTCTGGTCAAGCCCCCCTGGATGTACAACCTGATCATCCTGATCTCCACCATAGTTTTCTTTGCCCTCCCTTTGCTGATCATCAGCATTCTTTACCTGCTCATTGGTCTGCAGCTGCACAGGGAGAAGGTCAGAAACATGGCAGGGGCCAACGGCAGCTTAGGACCTGACAGTCTTTCCAAGTCCCACAATCAGAGACTGAGCAAACGCAACCTGCAAGTCACCAAGATGCTCTGTAGGTGTTTTATTTTTATTTTTTTCCTTTATTTAACAAATAATAAAATGGTGGTAGTATAAAAGGAGGCAGAAGATGCTGATAGAAATGTGGAAGATTGTTTGCAGTTTGAAAGAAATCCCTCTCATGTTAAATGTCATTGTTAGGTTCCCATTTTGGGTCAAAGCCTCGGTTCCGGGTTGTTAGACCTGTGGAAAGGTTTAAGCATCTGACTGATTGTCGTTTAAGTCAATTCAATTCAGTTTATTTATAAAGTGCAAATTCACAACACATTTAATCAAAAGGCCATTTACAGGGACAATTCAACCAGATCATCCAGTCAGATTAGGTCAACGTTTTCTAAGGAAAACCAGTTGATTGCATCGACTCATTGACTCAAAGGCAATCCATCACACCAAGCATGCCTGTAGTGACAGTGGAGAGGAAACACTCCCTGTTAACAGGACGAAACCTCCAGCAGAACCAGGCTCAGTGTGAGCGGCTATCTGCGGTCGACTGGGGTTCAAAGACACAGAAGCAGACAAAAAAA